GGAGAAAAGGGGAGATGTCCTGAGGTCATGACAATGTCACGGGTGGAGATCTGCCATTCTTCTCGCTCGGACATAGAGCTATTAATCTGTCGCTTTCTGTTTATCGGATTATCAATTTATGCGTTAAACAGTCATGGGGTCCAGGCGAGTCTGTCGCTGGAACATTTCCAGATACCATGTTCTTTGTTCTGTTGTTTATTAGCTGGTTTATTTATGCTGAAGCCAGTCAACGTTACACTGCACATCTGGTCCCTGAAAGCCCGTAAAACAAAGATAGTTTGTATCCTAGTTTGAGTTAGGGTTTAAGCAGTTTTTGGAATGCAGGGAGAAAAGGGGAGATGTCCTGAGGTCATGACAATGTCACGGGTGTAGATCTGCCATTCTTCTCGCTCGGACATGGAGCTATTAATCTGTCGCTTTCTGTTTATCGGATTATCAATTTATGCGTTAAACAGTCATGGGGTCCAGAAGTGTCTGTCGCCGGAACATTTCCAGATACCAGGTTCTTTGTTCTGTTGGTTATCAGATAGTTTATTTATGCTGAAGCCAGTCACGAGACAACACTGACGTTCTGTTGCTTAAATGAGTCCAGATGCAGGGGTCAGTTATTGCTGTCTTAGTGCTTGCCGACCCAGGAGGTGGTTTTGTAAATCACTCTCTCCTTGTGTTTCTTGTAAAGATAAGCTGAGCGGGACAGGAACTTATTTGAGACAATTGGCGCCTGGGCTGACCATGGTTCAGTTTTACGACTCTCACATGGTTGGGAGGAGACCTTAGTTTTTCCGGTGGAATGCGGAGATTCAATCGTTCATTTGTTTCTGTTCACAGAGGCCCTACAACTTTTTAAGACTAAAACAAAAGATGAATTCATTGTTATTCTTAATTAAAAAGCATAACAACAATAAAACAGTAAGATACAATGACAAACTAGCTTACAAAATGTTTATTAACAAAAACGAATAAGACGAGGCATGGCATACACCACATGCTGTATTATATACCGACTAATAAATTACAGAATGTATAGCAAACACTGAGGAATCAAATAAATAAAAAAGAAAGCCTCCATAGCAATTAAGCTTTTCAAAATGAAAACTAAAAGAAAAGTAAAACTAAACTTGCTGTCGGTGACAGTGCTTGCATGTTTTTTTCCCCCACAAGAATACCAACATGTTCACCTTCATTGGTTTAAGAAGCAGTCTTTAACTTTACTTTAGCATGAAACTCATCCATCGTTTCCTCAATATTCACATCATTTTTGCTGCGCCCAGCTTCCCGCTCCTGCTGACGCGGCGAGTATAAACCAGGCTCTACACTATAAGTGCTGTGCAGTTCAAACGAGTAGCGCGGTTTCGTTATTCTTTCAGTTTCGTTTGCCGTTTGATGTGTCTCATATGCAACAGAAATGGCAGCGCTTATGAGTTAAACAATGCGGTGGTCGCGCCAGTGCGACCGCACACAAAATTTAGTTGCACAGGCAGAAAATATTATGGCAGAATGCGCCCATTTGGTCGCACTTTGGAACCCTGTGCTGGACAGTATTTATTTATCCTCAGTTGTTCAAATCGCGGTAATAGAATACATTATAGTGATAATTAAAATATGAAACGGTAATACTAACCTTTAGTTGCACAGGCAGAAAATATTATGGCAGAATGCGCCCATTTGGTCGCACTTTGGAACCCTGTGCTGGACAGTATTTATTTATCCTCAGTTGTTCAAATCGCGGTAATAGAATACATTATAGTGATAATTAAAATATGAAATGGTAATACTAACCGTGGGGTGTTTTATCACGATTTATTGTCAAACCGGTAATCATTACATCCCTACTTTGTAAAAATCGACACGTTTCAGAAAGGCGGGGCATAGAGGAGAAACAATAATGTACAGTATGTGGAAAATAATGTGTTTTTTTAACCTTAAACCACATAAACACATTTCATTACACCAAATACACAAAATAATGTTCTTTTTAGCAACATCATATGACCCCTTTAAGAGAGCATCTTCCTTCATCTTCCTATATATCCAGTGATTTTAACTCTTACTAATGTTTTCATTCTATTAGACTTGTCTAAACATAGTGTTTTCTTAGCACAAGTAACACTCTCTTCGTGTCAGTGACAATGCCATGCCTGAGAGTCAGTTTGTTTTCCCCTCATATTTTTGTGGTTTTAGTTGTATGATTTTAACGCATTCAGTCAGGAAATGATTGCTCACTGTGTGGCATGATGTGAAACTTTTGTTTGTTTTTTTTTGTTCTTGTTCTTCTGAAACTGTGAGGGCAGATCTGACATCACTGAACACATACCGCTGTGTTTGAAGAGGTTCATATGGTCAGAGAATGCACAAATACATTAAATGTGTTAGTTTTACTGCTGTTTATTTCATCAGAACTCTCAACAACTCATTTATCATTGAACACATTTTTATTTAATCAAGCTTTATTTGCCAAAAAAAAAAAACATCATCTCTTAACCTCAGCTTGTTGTTGAAAAGGGTTGAAACCCGTTTTTCTGTAAGTTTGAGGACGGTTGTGTTTTAAGAGAAATGGCATGATCTGGTTTTGTGTCAGAAAATGCACAAACACACAGTTTCTCAGTTTTACTGCTTTGAACTCTAAATAATACATTTAACATTAATCTGTTCGCAGTTTAATTTAATCAAGATTTATGTGCCATAGAAGAGATTTACATTTATATTTTCTCTTGAAAATAGCTTACATGTACATATTAATGCTAGTCTAGATAAATATATCATGTCTAAACATACAAGCACTTTTTTAACACAAGTCCTGCTGATCTAATGATTTTAAAGCATATGCATTGACTGTGACAGAAGCCATCTGCTGTTCTTTTTTAATAAGGACTTTGGCTCAGTCTCTATATTAAAGTAAAAATGCTTAAAACATGCAACTCCAGCTTGAATATTGTGTATTGATATTGAATTGTTGCATTAAAAACAGTAGCAGTAACAGCACTTTTATATTTAACTGAATATTATTGACAAGCACAAATAAACTGCACAAACCTGAATAATAACCACAACAATCCATGTTTCACTGGGGCTGAAAAAGGTGACATCTGACAAAACATCTCTGTTTCTCTGAAGTGAAAGTAGATCTGGCCAACAGGAAAAGAATTTAGGCCACAGTGTTCTGTTTTATTTTGTGGTAACCTACAGTAATGCTGGTTTAGCTGGCAGTGCAAAGCTCAGACAGTAAAATAAAGCACACAAATGTGTCATTTAGCCGATTTGTGCTGAATCAGAGATGAGCGTTTGCCTGCGCTCCATCCTTTCTGCCAGCCGCGATAGTGAATGATTCCTCCTGCAATGACTGTAGCCAGAAAAAACACAACAATAGCCAGACCAACACCACCAAACATCAATGCCCTCTCGATCGTAGTCACTCCATCTACAGAGAGACAGAGACAGAAGAAATATTCAGATTTGTACAACCTGAAAAGTGTTAACTGATAACTAGAATTTGTGCTGGATCTCCGCAGCAGAGTTAGAACATGAAAAATTAAATGAACGACCAAGATAACAACCAACATGTTACCTGTGATGTCAACTTCTTTAGGCTTTTCTGTTACAGAAAGACCTGTAAATATATGATCAGTTCATTAAACACACACACAAAATGTTTTTAGTTGTTAGCTGTATATGGGAGAGTGGGTTAAGATGAGCTTTTGTTGCTTTTAAGTTGTTCTTTATGCAACAGAATACAGAAATCATGCATAATGACATTTCATGGCCTTTATAATTAGTTTTTCAGAACAAGGAAAAAAAAATTCACTGTTTTGATTTGCAGCGTATGATTGTGATTAAAAATGTACCCTGATAACCTATATATACACAGTCGTGGTCAGAATTATTCCATTGGTAAATATGATCAAAGAAAGCTGTGAAACGAAACCTGCATTGTTAATCCATTTGATTTTTCATTTAAATATTTCAAATTAATTCAAATTATAAAAAAAAAACATTTTTTTAAATACAAGTGAAAGTGGGGGGAAATCATATTATGAAATAAATATTAATGCTAGAAAGGGATTTCTGTCCCTGCTAGAAATCTTATAATGGAACAAGGTTAGATCTTCCAGCAGGAAAATTATCCAAAAACAAACATCAAAATCAACACAAAAAAGGGTCACTGAACAAAGTTTGTGCCATGGCCGTCTCAGTCCTCTGAGCTGAACCCTGTAGAAAATGAAAGGTGTGAACTGAAGAGGAGAAGTTGTGAATCTGAAGGATCTGGAGTGATTCTAGATGAAGGAAAGATCTCTGATCTCTTGTCAGGTGTTCTCCAAACTCATCATGCATTACAGGAGAAAATTCAGAGCTGTTATCTTTGGAAAAGGAGGTTGCAGAAAGTTCTGAATGAAAGGGTGCACTGTATAAAAAAAATAAAAAATAAAAAATTCAGTGAAATTTACAGTAAAATACTGGCAGCTGTGTCTGCCAGAAGTTTACTGTACAAAATATGGTAGCAACATTTTAGGTTTTACTGATTTAACTATAATTTACAGTAAAAACTTACTTCATTAACTGATATAACGTTAATATACCAACCTATTGAAGGATTATATCTGTTTTGTATCTAAGTAATACACTGAAAACCACCAAAAACAGGTGATGATGAGAAGTCACATGATGAATCAAATCTCATCACAAGCAGCTCTTCTACAAGCTGGGGAGAAAAATTATAATATTCTAACATTTATTAAGTGCACAGTGTAATTCACACAAATACTAAACACCATCATTGTAACATGCATGACACTAAAATAATGCAATAAACATTAACAACATTATATGCAAGATAAAACCCTAATGTACATTAGTGTATTTCAACAAAAAACATCAAATATAAAGTGTTTCTGAGAATGTGGATTTAGGGCTTTTCACTGTAAATTAACAATTAACAATGCAGATTTGTTTTCACAGACTTCTTTGATCATATACCAAGGATAGGAATAATTCTGAACACAAATGTATATATATATATATATATATATATATATATACACACACACACTTTCGATACCAGAGGCGAAGTAGGTACACTATAACTTTATATATTTAGTTAAAAAATATTAAGCACGAGTTTACATTATCAATTACAGGCAGTTTCTTAATTTTCACACTTCATAGGCGCACACCATACTTTCTGAACCGGAGTACACAGACGAAGAGCTAATCGTGACCTTTCCAACGTGATTACGTCATGCGTGAAGTCCAGCTACAGCAAGACCAGCATTTGTGGTTAAAAAGTATATAAATGTTTTTGTTTTTTTAAGAAAATGACAGCTCGTTTTGCTAGATGACCCTTATTCCTCGGCTGGGATCCTGTAGAGCTCTTTGAAGCTGCACTGAAACTGTGATTTGGACCTTCAACCCGTTGGTCCCCATTGAAGTCCATTATATGGAGAAAAATCCTGGAATGTTTTCCTCAAAAACCTTAATTTCTTTGCGACTGAAGAAAGAAAGACATGAACATCTTGGATGACATGGTGGCGAGTAAATTATCATGACATTTTTATTCTGAAAGTGAACTACTCTGAATCAGCACTCGTCTTGCTGGAAAAAGGTACAGACATCGGACACGCGCGCACAGAAAGCACTTCAGACAGTGCGCCAGTAGCGCATCAACAGACATAATCATACACAATTATGGCAAAATGCCCCTTTTTGCCGAATGGCGCATACACAGAAAGCCACTTCAGACACTTTGGCGAGTGACCTTGTAAACACGGTCTTAAATGAGTTAAAAAGTCTTAAATGACCGTAAAGAGTTGGGAGAAAACCAGATGTGTGTCAGATCCGCATCACGTGCGTCAGGAATTAAAGAGACAGCGCTGCTTTTACAGTGAAACCTGCTGCAGTCATTGATGTAAATCAAAGAATAAAAGAAAAACAGCTCTGATAGCTGATTAATGAATAAAGTTTAATCTATATTCTATTTATGCATATTGTATTGTTCCTTTAAATTATATAATTATATAATTTAACCTATTGAATCACTCCAGATCCTTCAGATTTTATATATAATTATATATATATATATATATTCATATATTAAGCATAAATATATTTAGCATATAAAAGCATTTTTCCCACCCATGTGCTGCTTAAATCCATGTATCTTAAAACAAAAATCTTGTACAGATCTCATCTTTGGTGGCTCATCTGACCCATTCCCCCTACAACAAGTTTGAAAAGATATGATGGAAAAACTTAAATCTGTTACCCTCGATCTCTAGTCTGATGGGTTTGTCGAAGAACATCTCTGGAGCATCAGACTTTGTTCCACAGAAATAAATGCCCAAATCTGACTCTGTTACTCCAGAAATCTCTAGAGAGACTCTGGTGATCCTTGTGTCTGCAGTAAGTTTCAGACGAGGGCTGTTTGGATCATAGTTGGTCAGGAGATTTCTTCCAGTTTTGTCTTTCTTCACAGAAATCAATAGATCTAGTTTTTCAGAATTGAGGTGATACCAGGCGACTTCATATCGGTTTCTCATGCTGCAGTTCAGACTGATGTTTTCTCCCATCTGAACCCTCAGCAGATCATAAGACCCTCGTACTGACGCATCTGGAGAGACATTATAAAAACAGATCCTTTTAGACCATGCTCATAATAATAGTTATTTAATTTCATAATGTCTGAAATAGAGTATATTTACCATTGGATGTGATTTGCATAATCCAACATGAAAACACACAGAAGAAGAAAACCGATTTCTCCATTGTGTCTGTCGATCGTAACGGTGTCGATCAAACTACAGGTTTCAGCACAACGCAGAGACACTAAACCACAAAGGGTTTCCACTTCCTTTCTAGAGAAATATAAAGCATTGAATAATAGCCTCTGTATCAGATCAAGCATTTGTTGCATCAGTATCAAATTTTAATGAGGTGTAATGTAAATCCTCATGATTTCCCAGTGTACTTTACCAATGTGATCTATATTAGCTTGCATAGACACTTGGCTTACAAAACTTGGCTGAATGTGAATAGATCTGTGAGTCCATAATCATGAATATTTAATTTAGATATATATTTATTTATTTTATTTTTTAAATATTACCTCTATAAACAGCTACAGTGGCATGCTTGTGATTAATTATTCATTTTGACCATATTACAATAAAAGTTCTTTACAAAAATGTAAATACAAATCATGTCTCTTCCAGGTTTACATGCCATAGCATGAGTTAACAGTGTATATAACACAGATCTAGATCAGTTTTATTTGTTAACACATATTTAAGCAATACAACATGCTTTTTTTTTTTAACTGAAGGAGGAAGTGATTGTTTTCTGAGGTAACGTGAGACAGGAAGCTTACGCTGCAATTCTGCAGAAGGTTAGTTACTTTTTCTTTCAGCACGTCAGTGATGAAGGAAAGATTCTCAAAACTTTTAAAGCAGGTAAAGTCATTTATTAAGATACATGTTAGACAGTAGAATATAATAACATACTTTGTAGAAAATCTTATTCTCCCTCTTATACCCTGAACAAAGCAATGTTAAACATGAGTGAAATACAACTCAAAGAAAAGAAAAAGACCATAAACCTAAAAAACAACAACAACAACAAAAAACATTGATTGATGCACCAGAGACTGTAGTCAGTATCATACTGTAATAATGAAGAACATTGTCTCATGTTTAATTCACATCCATCTTTTAAAGGGATTACTGTTGAACTGGACAGCTGAGTTTCACCCATATTCGCACAGTCCTACAATAATAGGATTTCACAGATGTTACAGAGCTTGATTTGCAATATTCTGTCACTGTAGTTGCAAACAACAATTACCAAACTCACAGTCACATCAGATCAAAAACTTCACAGTCACAGCTTTTATTACCACATACGGCTCTGCATTATGTTTAGAGCAGATGAAGTTTATTATAATCCCTAACCACTTTAGCTTGATCTAACATACTGTTGTACCTCTAAAGATACAAGTTTCGCAATTTTAAAATGTTTCTGAGGGAGTATAAATGTTTACACCCAGTTAAATAACACATAAAACCTTTGCATTATTTAAATATTACCAAATTCCATATCAAAATACATAAATAAAAAACAAACAAAAATATTGCTGTATCAAAAGTGGTTTTAAAATGTTTAAAAAAATTTAATCAATAAACTTAAGTGTTTTTGCTGTTTTAATGCTGATTCACAAAAAAAATCACTGGTAAGCAGTAAAAGGTGCCTGTGGCAGGGGAAAAATGGGAAAAACAACTTAGCATGAATAGAGACTCAGCTTTGGATGGCCTCTTCCTCATGCTGACACATATTTAAAAACATTTTTACAAAACACACATACAGATGGGAACAAACTTAAGGAAAATCCAGGTGCTCTGTGATTCAGTGGGGATCAGATTCTACTGGCCTTATAGTGAACAATCAGTGCAAATCAACATACAGTTGTTCTGTGTGAGCACCTTTATCCTATGATGAAGCATTTCTATTCAGGGATCACTGAATGATTTGATGAATATAAAAAATGATATGAATCATATTATATAGCCTTCAGCCACTGGATCTCAACCCAACTGAACACTTATGGCAGCTTATTTGGCAGCATGTGCTGGAGCAGCACCTTACTAAAACACTTCATGTTGTTGTTTTATTATCACCCATATGTTTGTACATGCATACATTCACATGTGTGTGTAATGTTTGGACACAACACTATCTGTTCTTTGAAAAGATCCAAATAGAGCAAATCACAGTGAAAATGTTGCGAAGTGAGTGACATTCAATAATGCCACTCAGCACTCATGTCTTTAAAATAATAATTACAATATTACTGCTGATGGTACATATCTATGGAAGCATATAGGTAGCGAAATTCAATTTAAAATTCAATATG